TTCCCTCATCTTCCTCGCTCCTCTCGTGCTCCTCATCCTGGCCCTCCTTGTCCCCATCCTTCTCCTGTCTTCCCATCGTCCTCCTCCACCCAACTCTCCCTCTGCTCCTACATCGTCATTTTTGGTTTGCGAATGTCCACTTGAAAAACGTGATGTACGTGCTGCCGTCCTGGCCCTCCAGCTTCAAGAAGTCGTACTTCGTCTTCTTGCCCGTGTCCTTCTTGCCCTCGATGTGCTCCTCTGCGACGGTGCTCGCGTCGAACGCCGCCACGAGAGCCTCTCGAAAGGAGCAGGCGATGGACAAGAGTGGGATGGATCAAGAGAGGGATGGACAAGGGAGGGATGAAGCAAGAGAGGTGAGCCTGCGCCACTGGACGCCGAGTGCCATCTGCCCACGCGGCAACCATGTTGTCGGTGGGCGTGGCGTCGGGCCGCGGCTTCTCCATGCGATCGCAGAAATCCTGGTGGTCGCTGCCCTTCTTGACCCTGTAGGCCTTCTTCATCTTGCTGTCGTAGAAGTACTCCCACCCATCGCCTGCGGAATGCATGTTTCTTCCGATCTCTGCCTGCCTGCCCTCCCTCTCTCCCTCCCTCCTTTACTTCCTCATTCGTTCCTGCTCCTCCTGTTCTCTCCTCGTTGCTCCTCCTCCTCCTCCTCATCGTCTTTCTCCTCCTCATCAATCTCCTCCTCCTGTCCCTCCTCCTCCTCCTCCTCCTCCTCACGCTGATGGGGTGGCCTCCGTCGTCAGCGGCGCCCTCGGGTTCGTCGCCACCGCCATCCTCTGGCGGGTCGCCGTCAGCTGGCACATCGTCATCATCATCATCAACACGCTGACGCCGCCGACCACGACCGATGGGGAAGCCACGACCGCGACCACGACCGTTGGCTGCAGGCTTCTTGGTGGGCGAGGTCGCTGCAGCCTTGGGCGAGGTCGCTGCAGCCTTCTTGGTGGGCGAGGTCGCTGCAGCCTTCTTGGTCGGCGAGGTCGCTGCAGCCTTCTTGGTCGGCGAGGTCGCTGCAGCCTTCTTGATGTGCGAGGTCGCTGCAGCCTTCTTGATGGGCGAGGTCGCTGCAGCCTTCTTGGGCGAGGCCAGCACGTTCTTCGAGCTCTGCGCCGTGTCGATGGGGCCCAGCTTCTTGAACCACAGCGGCGGGCGGCTGGGATATCGTTTTGAATTTGCCGATGGCGAGGGCGCATTTTTCAAGAAGTCCCTCGAGGGACCATTGAGTGCCCGATATACCCTCGCGACTGATTCAGGGGTCCAGTCCGATGGATAACCGCGAGCAATCACAAGACGCCATCGGCAAGAGCGATCGTCCATCATACTATATACCACTCTGTCTCTCCTCCTCCTCCTTCTCCTCCTCCTCCTCCTCCTCCTCCTTCTCTGTCCTCTCTCCCCTCTCTCTCCCCCTCACTCCTTCCTTTCTCCCCCCTCCTCCCCCTGTTTCCCCCCTCCTCCCATCCCTGCCATCCGCCCGTCATGCCCGAAAAACCGGGCGTCGGATCCTTGAAAGTTTGACGCAGTGCCTGAACAGCGAGCGCATGCGCGCCCCGTTCTCCTCCACCCAGTCGATCAGCTCGTCGTTCGACAAGGGAAACCTTCGGGGAGGGGGTAGTCGGCCCGCCCCTCCTCCTCCTCTTCCTCCTCCTCCTCCTCCTCCTCCTCCTCCTCCCCCTCCTCGTCCTCATCTTCCTCCTCCTCCTCCTCCTCCTCCCTGCGACGACTACAACGACGAGTCGGCCCTGCAAGGCCAAGGTTGACCCAAGAACGATTTGTCCAGAGCGATGCGTTCCAAGGCCTGCTCCAAGGCCTTCGGCTTGACGCTAAGATTCGAACATATTCGACCGACTGCTTTCCGCCCCTCCCCCGAGGGAGCGTGCCGCGTATTATAACTGATGGATGGGTTGCGGCTGAGATCGATCGAAACAGGGGCCTGCGGATATCCGACGGGTTCACCAGATGGCCAAGTGGAAATGTTTCCGCACCTTCTGGGGGTCAACCTTGCTCTTTTTGGCCACCTTCGGATGCATGATGAAGTTGACCGAAAAGGGAGAAGAGGGTGGCGGAGTACGAGGAGGACAAGGGCAGGGGGAGGAGAAGAAGGAGAAGGAGGAGAGGGAGGAGAAGGAGGAGAAGGAGGATGAGGAGGAAGAGGAGGAAGAGGAGGATAGGGTGAGAAGGATGAGGGGCCTGCGCTATCTGTGGAGACAGCACCGCCGCCAGCGACTCGGCATCCGAGAACCGAGCGCCCTGTGGCGGCATCTAGCCGCGGGGCGGCTCGGGCCGCGGCGCTGCGCAGCTTGGCAACGCGAGCGTCCCTGCCCTCTTGGGTCCCCCCCCTCCTCCTCTTCCTCTCCTCCTCCTCCTCCTCCTCTTCCTCTCTTCCTCCTCCTCCTCCTCGTCCTGCCCCTTCCCCTCCTCCACCTTGTCCTCCTTCTCCCCCCCCCGTCCCTTCCTTCCACTGCCTCCAGCCTCCTTTTCCACGAAGGTCATTTGGGTCCATTACGCAGTCGTGGTTGAGCGTGGCACTCCCAGTTGCGCACGAAAGTGGCGACGGTATGCTGGTCATACTCGTGCATGCATGTATGTATTACCATGTATCTACATTGATATATATATATATATATATATATATACATATATACATATATACATAGTTGCACAAGCGCAGGCGCGAAACGAACACGCGCAGGCGCGAGACGAAAAGGCGCAGGCGCGAAGCGAAAAGGCGCAGGCGCGAAGCGAAAAGGCGCAAGCAACTTGCGAAAAGGCGCAGCGAAAAGGCGCAACGTCAAATGCGTTCCGCGATATTTCCCGCGACAAATGAAAAAGCGCACCCACCCTGTGGGCAGGGCGGATCTCTGGAGCGGGACGTCTTGGCACCGCTGACGCGGGAGTGCAAGGGTGACCTACCGCCGTGCCGGAACGTCGTGCCGAAGGCGCAGCTCGCGGAGCAGCTTTGGCCCGCCGCTGCCGCTATTGCTGGGCGCGTCCCCTTTGACACGGTCTTGCAGGCGCGGGACTTCATCAAGCAACATCTCGTCGCCGACGTCTCGCTCGACGGCGCCCGCGTCTCCCCGTTCAGTGCCGACGAGGCGCGTTGCCCTGTCCACCGCTTCGATCGCCCTCTCGAGGTTCAGAGTTTTGTGGGGGCAGAGGGGGGGGCCTTCGTCAACGCCGCAGCCGGGCGCAGCATGAAAAATTGGCGCGTTGGGGCGGCCCCGGGGCGCATTTTTTCAGGTTTTTGTTGCCAAAAGCGCTCCCCGCTCCCCTGCAAGGTTGCGAAGGACTTCGTCCACTTCGGACTTGTGCTTGACGGGGGCACCGCGCCCATGGAGACCGGGGCCCGGAAAGGCTTGGCGGCCGCCAAGAAGTTATTCCCGGATGAGCCGTGGTCTTTGTCGTCGCTGGCGGAGCGGGTGGGCTGCGACGAGTTCGGCGCGGAGATTCTCTGGTGCGAGTACGGGAAGTACGTCCGCGCCTGCGCCAACGGCGTCACCAGGGAATACGTCCCAAGGTATCGCAGGCAGCGCCGGTCGGGCCGCCCAAAAACAGGGCCCTCGGAGGCGCCGGCGCCGCGGCCGTCAGAAGCCTGCCCGCCGCCCGACGGGTGCGACGGGGACTTCGTCGAGGCGGGGGGCGATTCGCCCGGCAAGGAGTGTCGATTGTCGCAGGCCGGGGTGCCCGCGCCATGAGCCCCGCAGGCGCGCCCGATGGCGGCTCCCGATGGCGCTGCGTTGTCGAGATCGGCGGATCCGCCGCCCGCGGTCCGGGGGGGGGGCGGTGCCGGGGATGCCCCGAGCCCACTTCCCCCCCCAGTCGCTGACGCGGGGCCGCCAGCGGGGCCAATGACGCAGCATATACTCGAAGATGCGCAGTATTTGGAGACGGCAGTACGGAGCACTTCGGGCAAGGAGTTGGTCTCCGTCCTGGGCGCCGGAATTGTCGCAGAATTGCTCAACCGGCTCCGGGCGCAGGGCCAGCTGCAGGGCCCCGATCAGGCAGGGCCAGCTGACGAAAGGCCAGCTGTCGCAGGGCCAAGTGGCGGCGCCGAACAGGTCATGAAGCGGCGCCGCGTGGCGGCGGCGCCGCCAAAGTGCCTCCCCGCAGCGCAGCCGACGCCCCTCGCGGCGGCGCCGGCACCCGGCGTAGTGGCGGCGCGCCAGGCGCGCCAGGCGGCGCGGCCAGGCGAAGCGGCGGAAGCGGCGGGGCGCCGCCTGTCGCAGCGGCCGTGGCTGGCGGAACCGCTCGCCGGCCTCGACGATGCCAGGGCAGCCGCCGCTCAGGGGCGAGCGGCGCGGCCGGAGGCGCACGGGCGGAGCCAGGGCGGCGTGCTGGCGAAGGGCCAGGTGCTGCGCGCGCTGGCGAAGGGCCAGGGCATCCCGCACTACGGCAGCAAGGCCGATTTGCTGGCCCGATTGCGTGCTGCGGGGATTGCAGTCCCAGGGGTCGACTGACGACGCGGCCGTCAACCAGGGGGGCTGTCGTCATCGCCATCGTCATCGCCATCGCCATCGCCATCGCCATCGCCAACGCCTCCCTCTGACGACGTAGGGAGGGAGGGTGAGGAAGGGAGGAGGAACGGGGAGGGTGAGGAAGGGGGGAGGAACGGGGAGGTGAGGAAGGGTTCTGACAAAGGCCTTCCTGGCCCAGGTTCCTGGATGGCCCAGAGAACGATCTCGAGGAGAAGGAGGAGCAAGAGGAGGAGGCGGAGTAGGTCACGCACCCGAGGACATGAGCGAGGCTCAGAGAGGAAGGAGGTGGGAGACGAGTAGTTCCAGCGCTGGTGCGGCGTTAGTGATGCCCCTCACACCGATCGTGGCCACCGAGCGTGAAACATCGCGCCCTCTCTTCCGTAGCCATTTTGGCTCAAGCCGGTTTGGCTCAAGAGTGTTTATTATTTCAGGCCGCGCAGCGTGGCCGCTCGTGACTTTAGAGGTGCGGCAGCGCGCGCCTCGGCGTGCAGTCTGGCGGTCAAAACCATGGTCTCCCTGATGCCGGCCAGCCCTTCTATGAAGGACGTTTCCGAGTTCTTTTTGGGGAAGTTGCCCACCGAGCAGAGGCGGCAACTCGACGCGGCGGTGGCATTGGCGACCTCGGAGGGCCGTTTCCTCCGCGTGGGCACCGCGTGCTCGGGCACCGACTCGCCCGTCGCTGTGTTCCGTGGCCTGGCGAAGGCAATGCCCAGGCTAAAGGTCGAGCACACGTTCTCATGCGAAAGCGACGTGAAGAAGAGACAATGGATTACGGACAATTTCCCCGACTTGCCGTACCTTTTCGGTGACATCCAGGAGTTGCCGACAGGCAAAGCTTTCAACTACATCACCGGGAAAGCGGCGCAAGTTCCACCCGTGGACATTTTCATTGCAGGCTTTGTCTGCAAGTCGGTGTCCTTGGAGAACAATGAGAGAAATAAGTGCGCGAACTGCATCATAGAGGCGTGCGGTCTTACAGGCATCACGTTCCAAGGGATGATCCAGTACGTTCAGCAATTCCAGCCAGCTGTGGTAATATGTGAGAACGTGGAGGGCCTGGTCAAAAAAAACCGCGGGTTGGAGCCAGTAGTCAACCATGTCAAGGACGAATTTGCCTCCAGCGGCTACGCCTTCCATCACAAGCTGCTGGGCTCCAGGGACTTCCTGCTGCCCACCGGCGCAAGCGGTGCTGGATGTGGGCCTTCCGCGGCCTGGCGCACGCGGGCGCCGCGGCGCTGGCGGGCGAGGCCGTGCTGGCCCTGCGCCAGGAGAGGCATTGGGAGATGAACGCCCTCTTCCGGAGTGTGAAGGCCAGCGACGTCGACATGCGGAGGCCGCTCAACGAGCGCGAGCGCTCCGTGGTGCAGAAGGTGCTTTCGAAGCTTTCGCCAAGAGAGCGCGGAGAGGAGGTCGTGGTGGACGTCGGCAAATCTTTGGAGAGGGCGGTTTATTGCGTAGGTGCAGCGCCATGCGTGGTTCCCAATTCTCGACCATGCCGCGTAAAGAAGGACAAGCTCCTATCGCCTGAGCAGGTCCACGCGGCGCAGGGGATCTTCAAAGAGGACTTCCCTGCGCTGGCGCGCTGGGGAAAGGAGAAGAAAATACTCACGCGCGACCTCGCTGGCAATGCCTTCTCCACAACAGTGTGCATGGCGGTCGCCATCGCGGTACTTTGCCATGGCCCGTTGCTAGGGACAGGCGCCTTGAAGCGCATTCAGGCGGTCACGGAGGAGCACCTCGAGGGGGCCGCCGCTCCAGCCACGCCGCCCGCGAGGGCCTCGCGCGCCCCCGTGGCGACGACGCCGCGGCGCGTGCAGCCCCCGCGCGCGGTCCAGAGGACCCGCGCCGGCGCCAGTTCACCGGCAGCGGGCGGCCCGCTGGCGAAGAGGTTGAGGGTGAAGTCCAGCGACGTGGGGCGGCGATGCGAATTCTAGCCGGGCGTTGCTTTATATTTTCTATCAGGCGCCTTGTGCCGGAGGAGGAGGCGGAAATGGATGTCCCGGGACTGGGGCGGGGAGGTGGCGGGGCCTGGTCACGGGCGTGGCCGCGAATATTGAGAAAACGGGTTCCTGGTCTTAGCTGGCCCTTCCAGGGCACCGCTTTGAACCATCTATGAGCTACTGCGCGGAGGGCTAGGGTGCTGAGAATAGGGTTTCTCGGCCAGCACCCTGCGTTTAGGCCAGCACCCTGCGTTTAGGGTGCTGAGAATAGGGTTTCTTTGCCGCCGTCACCCTTGTCCAACCTCTGCGACTGCGAGCCGCGCCGCCGAGCTGGCCATCTCGACGCAGTCGGGATCGCAAGCGGTCGCTCAGACAGCGAATCGCTCGAGCCAACAAAGGCAACGATCGAAGCACCTGGCCCGCCGGAACATGAGCCACGCAGGCCCGAAAAGGCCCGTTTATCCAACATTGGGAGCATGGCCCGTCTTGTCTTGGAGTCCTCGTGGGGCCCGCCTGGAAGCCATTTGGGCAGTCTTGGGGCCCTATTGGAGGCGTCTTGGGGCCCTGGGCGGGCGCCAAACTGGTGCAAGCAAGCGTTGAGTTGTTCAATGATGTTTCAATTCTTGGTGCCGCGGCGGGGCGGGCTCGGGAGGCACCGTCTTGGGGCTCTTGGGCCGTCTTGGGTCGCACGCTGTCTCCCCCCTTATCCCTTAAGAGAGAGAGAGAGAGAGAGAGAGAGAGAGAGAGAGAGAGAGAGAGAGAGAGAGAAAAAGAGAGAGAGAAAGAGAGAGAGAGAAGAGAGAGAGAGAGAGAGAGAGAGAGAGAGAGAGAGAGAGAGAGAGCGCGGCCGTGGATCTCGGAACGCGCCCCTCCCCAAACGCATCAGGTGGACATTCAAACCAATATTCGAATCGAGAGTGGCATCGGTAATGAGGTCGATTGGGTGAGATCGATAGTGAGATCTATTTGGCGCCGCATCGATATCGATAGTGTGATCGGCCAACCGTCAACCCAGCGACTTCCGCAGCCGTTTGGGGGTCGAGGTGGCGGCGCGCTCGCGGCTTCGGCGCCCAATATGCTGCCGAGACCGCCTCGGCACCCTCCTCCCGCGGCGCTCCGCATCGCGGCAGCGCCCGAGTATGCTGCCGAGACCGCCTCCGCCGATCCGCCGCCGATCCGCGGGGGCGGAGCCGACGAGCCGTCGCCGTCCGCATCGCAGCTGGCGAGGGGGTGGCTGGCGGAGCCGTGGTCGGAGGCCGTCCGTCCGCGCGGTCGACGAGCGCGACTCCAGGTCATGGCCGTCCGGCGAGGGGGTGGCTGGCGGAGCCGTGGTCGCCGAGCGCGACTCCAGATCAAGGCTGTCCGCATGCGAGGAGGCGCCAAGGCCTGGCGCCGCCTCGCCATCGCCGAGATCTCGGAGCCCCGTGGGGCTGGCTGGCAGAGCCGAGACTGGCGAGGATGCGGATGGCAGAGCCGAGGAGTTGGCTGATGAGGTGATTGAGGAAGCTGCCACCAGGCTTCTGCACGCCATGAGTCTGCTGCACGCCGAGACGGTGGTCGACGAGGCCATGGCAGAGGGGGAGCTGCGCTGGAAGGAGATAGCGGAGCTGTGCAGGCCCTACCAGGAGGCGGCGGAGCGCTGGGAAATGGCAGAGGCGGAGCGGGACTGCCACGCCGCCGAGTTGGAGGCGGCGCGGACGGCGGCTGCGGGGGCGTGCCGTGCGGCTCGAGCTGAGCGCGGCCCAATTGCTCAGGTTAGTATCGCTCGAATGGTCCGTGCTGTCCGTGCTGTAGAGCGCTGTCGGGTGTTTGGCCCCGCGTGAGTTGGGATTGGGTCCTCGAGCCTCACATGGACCTCACTATCGATAACATCATCGATCTCACTGAATGGCGGATCTCCGTATCGATCCAACTATCGCTCTCACTGTAGACCGTCTAGACCACGCTATCGACCTCACCTAAGAGGTCACTACCGATCTCACTATGACTATCAATCACGTGGTCGACCTCACACACCCCAAACCTCCGACGCATCCAGAAATATTTCGGGGGAGGGGCCCAGGGAACGACGCAACGATGATAAAACGCGAATGACGGATGAGAGAGGCGGATGGGGGATATGGGATATGATGTATATGTCGTTCTCTGTGCGCAGTTACACATGCCCTCTTGGAGGCGCCGTGAACCTTCTTGGAGCCTTCTGGAGGCTTTCGTCTTGGGGCTCCTGAGCTGTCTTGGAGCCCCCCTGGAAGCCTCTTGGGCCGTCTTGGAGCTCGTCGAGGCTACGTTGCAGCGTCAGGTCTGGGAGGCATCGCCACCCTGTCCCTTATCTTCCCTCCATCCTCGCAGCCACCGCGGCCCCGCCACTGCGGCCCCGCCATCGGCCATCGGCGCACTATGGCCCCGAAGACTCGCGGAGCTGCCAGCGCAGTGCCAGATGGCGATCTCGGCCGAGATCGCGACCCAGAGGTCAAACAGTTGAAGGAGGCGCTCAGGAAGAAGGACCGCGTCCTGAGGCGCGTCGCGGGAACCTTGCACAGGGTTGCCGCGCGGCTGGTCGCGAGCACAGAGAAGGAGCGCAACCAGCAGGACAAGCGCTCCCAGCCTGTCTCCCAGCTGAGCTTGGCCAGTGTGATGCGTGACAAAGAGGACATGTGGTCCATAGATGCGGCGATCGCCGCTGCGTGCCCGCCAGCGATGGCCATGGAGGCGTACCGCATCGACAGGGCGCAGTGCAGCGCTCCCACCCCATCAACGTACAACCTGAAGGGCAAGCGCACCAAGAAGAGCAAGAAACAGGTCAAGCAGACGGCGGACACTAAGATCCGCCAGAGCGTGCCCGCCAAGAAGATCACGGCCAGCATCGGCTCCGAGGATATCGACCTGGAGCCGTCGCCGAGCTTCGCGTCCGACGATTCCTCGGACGATTCCGAGCTCAGTGCCCGCGCGCGCGCGCTCAGCCACTGAGCGTTCGCCCCGCGTCTCTTCCTGCTGCTTCTCCTTCCTCGCGCTCCCTGGGTTGCCCCGAGTTGCGCTGCCTCCCCTCACCGAATCCTTGCCGCATTTATTTACGTTTCTTTGAACATTTGTCCATTTGTCCTTGGGCGCCCCGACTGATGTGATCCTTCTTAGCCCTCCCCCCCCCTCCTCCACTCGGCATTTATCCAGTGGCCGTCGGCCCATCCCGCCACCGTGCGTGGGTGGTGTGTCCGAGGCCTCATGGATGCTGGTTGGAATCTCGTGGATGGCTGGTACTTCTGAGGGCCTCTTGGGCGCCTTTTGGGGCTTCATGGGAGCCTCTTGGGGCCTCTTGAAGCCAGTGCGATCCTACCTAGGAGTTGAAGCCCCTAGAAACGCAGCGTTAGTAGTAACAGTAAAGCTAAACTAAGCTAGCGCTAAGCTGAGGCTAAACTTACCCTACACGAAAACTAAGCTAAATGTACCCTAAGCTAACGCTAACCTAAAGCTAAATTAAAGCTAAGTTAAAGCTCAAACTACCAGCTACACCTAAAGCTAAAGCTAAAGCTAATGCTGAAACTAAAGGGAGGAGGGGGGCCAAGGAATCGATCATCTGTCGTCGTCATCGATCTCGCCATCGCCGTCGCTATCGGTCTCGCCATCGCTCGTCATCGTCGTCGTCATCGTCATCGTCTCATTTTTTCTGTTGCCATCGCGGCGCTCCCTCGGGCCCAGCGGGGGCCGCTGGCGGCCTGGGGCCCACCATCGCAAGAGAGAGGGAAGGGGGGAATGAAGGAGGAGTCCCCCAGAGCAGAGTCGCCAGGGGCGGCCCCCGCGCGCAGGCCCCGAGTGCCCCCTTGCTTGTGCCGGCCGCCGCGCTCTCTGATTTTCATTGGTCTTTTCGGTTTCTGAGGATATTTGGTATTCACGTCCTTACAACGAAATCGGCATAACTTCCACCTGCTCTCTTGAGCTCGAAATCAAGAATGTCATGTCAGTAGCACGCGTGGTTCAAGTGAATCTATTTCTTGCCACAGAAGATGCCGGCAAAACAATCACCTCCCGAAGTGATCGCGGCCGCCCGCAATGGTGCATGGACTGATGCCAAGCGGTGGGCGATTGGCCAAGCCTTCGAAGCCTTGCATGTGGCAACGAAAGGAGCCACGGATGCCGAGATGGCTGTCATTCTGAACATATTTGCAAGCCTCCATGATGGGCTACGCGACCCCGCGTCCTTCACCCCCGACATCGCCATGCTCAGTTACAAGGACAACGTGGAGGCGAAGCTGCGTGCATCTCCTACATACAGCAGAATGAGCTCACTCTTACGCGATGCCGTTTTGATCACTCTAGTCGAATCAGCAGGCACTCATGGAGACGCTTGCCGCGAGGAGATCGACAAGCAGGTAGAGAACATCTTCAGCGACCAGAACATGCGGACATTCGCCATGTCCCAGCTCTACCAGGCCTACCACGTTCTCTTCACTACTACACCTGGCAAGTTTACCTCCAGGAGCAAGCTCGACGGGCGGAGTCGACCAGCTAAAAAGACACATGTCAAGGAACCGACAGGGCACACCACGGAATCCGCTTCGGCGTCAGGAGCGGTACTGCTGCCTAAAGAGTCCGCGAGGAGCGACATTTCGGTCGAGATGAAGGTGTTGCTGAGAGAAGTGACGAAAAATTTAGACTTCCCGGATGTCGTTCCCGATTTCGTTCGCCTGGCCTGCTCCGAGAAGATCCACGCTCTTCTTTCCCAGGTTCCCGTTAAAACATGGATGATTGACCAGATCGAGTTCTTCCACTTCATGCGGTATCAGATGCTCCGGATCATCGGGCACTTCAGAACTGATCGGAACCTCCGCGCTGAGTGCGCGAATATCGTTTCGACCCTTGACTCAATGATGTAATAAGTTCATCTGGCTTCACTCATCCGTCCCTTCTGTTTCTACCGCTCTCATTATTATGATATCCTTCTTACTTTCTCTCTTCTCGGACGATGCCTCTATCTCCGAAAGTCGAACGAACAGGGGCACAGCTATTTTCGACGACTCCTGTTGATAATTTGCGATCCTGACGCATTCCACAAAGGTGATGCGCGCGCCATGTGGATTCCGAAAAGCGTTCGTGTCGGCAGATCTCGATAAAAAAGGCCGCATCTCTATCTCCATCACGTTATGCATGGCATGCGATCCTTCATGTCCTCCCCCCAAAAGCTGGCGAAGATCTTGCAAGAGCAGGAGCGAGTGTCGGCGGCTCAAAGATACAGTCGAGGACGAGGGTGGGCCTCTCGTCGATTGTCGTGTGCCACCGTTGCTACAGTTTTTGCTCGAGCGATTTCTTTCTGGCCACGAGCTTTTCAAAACTTCCTATCCTCTGAAGCTGCTGCGATGACTGCTGCGATGGATGCTCAAGCTTCCGATCCTCTTAAGCTCTTGGTCACCCTCAACGAACTTCCGATCGGCTTCAAGACAGGCTGTAAACTTACGCCACCGCTCCCGATGCCTGATATCTCGGTGCACGTCGCAGGCAAAGCCGCGCAGGTGCTGCCCGTGAAGCCCCCGACTGTGTGTTTCGACGCAATGTTGGAGATCAGGGGGCCGCCGATCAAGCGTCCAGCTGACGAGGAGCAGCAGAAGTCTTACCAGTGGCTCGACCTGTCCAACACGGCGCCCGGAGAGCCCGTCGAGTTTGGGGGAGAACGTGAGACCCAAACGACTCCCACGCTGCCGCCGCGGCCGCGGAAGCGGCGGCGGAAACCGACGGCTGAGGCCGACGCGCACAGTTCGCAGCCCGTCCTGCGTTAGGACAGCTGCAGTTCCTTCCTCCTCGTTCCTGTTCCTCCTCCTCCTCCTCTTCCTCCTCCTCCTGCTGCTGCTGCTGCTCCTCCTGCTGCTCCTCCTCCTCCTCCTGCTGCTGCTGCTGCTTCTCCTTCTGCTGCTGCTGCTGCTCCTCCTCCTCCTCCTCCTCCTTCTCCTCCTCCTCCTCCTCCTCCTTCTCCTCCTCCTCCTCACTCCTCCTTCTTCCTCCTATTCCTCCTAAACCTAGCTTCTCCTCCTCCTCCTCCTTCTGCTTCTCCTTCTCCTCCTCCTCCTATTCCTCCTCTTCCTCCTCCTACTCCTGGGACCTCTGCTGCTCCCCCTGCTCCTCCTGCTGCTGCAGCACCGAAGTGATGAGGCTATTATCGCTGGGGGAGCGGTGCGCGAGAGGGGTAGAGAGGGCTTGGGGTAGAGAGGGGTGGCCCTTCAAGTGGCGCTTCATCGCCGCCGGCGCCGCGGTCTGTGGCGGCCCGCCACGGACCGCGGCGCCGACGGCGACGACGGGGCCGACGGGGCCCCGGGAGGAGGGAGGGGCGCGCGAGGGAGGAATTCTGAGCGCCCCCCAGGGTGCGCTCAGAATTCCTCCGGAGGGGGGCTTGGGGTAGAGAGGGGTAGCCCCTTTGAGTGGCGCCGCGGTCAGGGTCCGTCGGGGGGCTCCCCGAGAGCTCCGTCCGCGGCGGATGGTCTCCCGTGGGGAATCTGGGCCAGATTCTCCATGGGGGAACCTCCGCCGCGGACAGGGCCCGTTGGGGGGCTACCCGAGAGCCCCGTCCGCGGCGGATGGACTCCCGCGGGGAATCCGGGCCCGATTCTCCATGGGAGACCCTCCGCCGCGGACAGGGTCCGTCGGGCATATTTTAATGATTTTCAGTGTTTTTTTTTTGTGTTGTTTTGGGCATATTTTAGTGATTTTCAATGTTTTTTGGTGATTTGGGGGATATTTTAATGATTTCCATAATTTTTTAATGATTTGGGGATTATTTTAATGATTTTCATTTTTTTTTGTGATTGTGAACATATTTTAATGATCGCCAGTGTTTCTTTGTAGTTTTGGGAAATAATGGCCCCGGGAGGTCCCGTTTGGCATGGTGTCGGGGCTTCGAAAACCCGCCCCGGGAGGTTCCGTTTGGCATGATGTCACAGGTCACGCCCCGAAAATTTGGTTCGGGAGGTTCCGTTTGGCATGGTGTCGGGCTTCGAAAACCCGCCCCGGGAGGTTCCGTTTGGCATGGTGTCACGGGTCACGCCCCGAAAATTTGGTTCCCAGAGATACCGTTTGGCATGGTGTCGGGCCCCCTAGACCCGCCCCGGGAGGTTCCGTTTAGCATGGTGTCGGGCCTTCGAAAACCCGCCCCGGGAGGTTCCGTTTGGCATGGTGTCGCGGGTCACGCCCCGACAATTTGGTCCCGGGAGCTCCCGTTTGGCATGGTGTCGGGCCTTCGAAAACCCGCCCCGGGGATCCCGTTTGGCATGGTGTCGGGCCCCGTCCGCGGCAGATGGTCTCCCGTGGGGAACCGGGGCCAGATTCTCCACGGGAGACCCTCCGCCGCGGACAAAGTCCGTCGGGTATATTTTCATGATTTTCAGTGTTTTTTTCTATTGTTTTGGGCATATTTTTTTTTTTTTTTTTTTTTTTGATTTTGGGTATATTTCAGTGATTTCGATTTTTTTTTTTTTAGTTTCGGCCCGCCGTGGACAGGGTCCGTTGGGGGGCTTTCCGAGGGCCCCGTCCACGGCGGATGGTCTCCCGTGGGGAATCGGGGCCAGTTCTCCATGGGAGACCCCCGCCGCGGACAGGGTCTGTCGGGCATATTTTAGTGATTTTCAATGTTTGTTTTTGTTGTTTTGACGCTATTTTAGTGATTTTCAGTATTTGTTTTTGTTTGGTGATTTGGGTGATATTTTAGTGATTTCCATCGTTTTTAAGTGATTTTGGGCATATTTTAATGATTTTCAATGTTTTTTTTGTGATTTTATACGCTCCGAGATGTTATACGCCCCCCCCCCGATATTATAACATTTACGGCCCCGAGATGTTGCAACATTTCCGGCCCCGATTTTATACGCTCCGAGATGTTTTACGATCCGAGATGTTACAACATTTCCGGGGAGAACGTGCCAGACCGTCAAACGACTCCCACGCTGCCGACCCGACCGCCCGCCGCGGAAGCGGCGAGGCGGCAAACCGACGGCTGAGGTGCGCAGCCTTCGCGCACAGTTCGCAGCCCCGTCGCTGCGTTAGGACAGCTGCAGTTCTTCTTCCTCCTCGTTCCTGCCATTTGCCCTCCTGCGACCCGGGTCCTCCTCATCCATCGATCTCCTCCTCCTGCTGCTGCTGCTGCATCGTCTCCTGCTGCTCCTCCTCCTCCATCCTGCTGCTGCTGCTGCTTCTCCTTCTGCTGCTGCTGCTGCTCCTCCTCCTCCTCCTCCTCCCGGCCCCCCCTATCTCACCTCCAGCCAATTTTCCTTCTCCGGAGTCCTCCTCCTCGACTCCTCCTTCTTCCTCCTTATTCCCTCCTTTTCCTAGCTTCGTTCCTCCTACCCCCGCTCCATGCTACCGCTATTCCTCCCTGGAGTCTATCCTGGCACGTATGCTCCTCCCTGGTGCGGGTGCTGCTGCAGCAGGAAGTGAGTGAGCTCGATCAGTATCGCTGGGGGAGCGGTGCGCAAGAGGGGTAGAGAGGGCTTGGGGTAGAGAGGGGTGGCCCCTTCAAGTGGCGGAGGAGGATGCCGACGGGCGCGGCGGGTGGTGGGGGGATCAGACCGAGGAGGAGCGAGGAGGAGAAGATGTGGGATGGGAGGAGGGGATGCCTCGCACGAGGGGTCACTGAGCAGGACCAGCTGGGTGGGCGCCGGAATTGTCGCAGAATTGCTCAACCGGCTCCGGGCGCAGGGCCAGCTGCAGGGCCCCGATCAGGCAGGGGCTGACGAAAGGCCAGCTGTCGCAGGGCCAAGTGGCGGCGCCGAACAGGTCATGAAGCGGCGCCGCGTGGCGGCGGCGCCGCCAAAGTGCCTCCCCGCAGCGCAGCCGACGCCCCTCGCGGCGGCGCCGGCACCCGGCGTAGTGCGCAGGCGCGCCAGGCGGCGCGGCCAGGCGAAGCGGCGGAAGGGCGGGGCGCCGCCTGTCGCAGCGGCCGTGGCTGGCGGAACCGCTCGCCGGCCTCGACGATGCCAGGGCAGCCGCCGCTCAGGGGCGAGCGGCGCGGCCGGAGGCGCACGGGCGGAGCCAGGGCGGCGTGCTGGCGAAGGGCCAGGTGCTGCGCGCGCTGGCGAAGGGCCAGGGCATCCCGCACTACGGCAGCAAGGCCGATTTGCTGGCCCGATTGCGTGCTGCGGGGATTGCAGTCCCAGGGGTCGACTGACGACGCGGCCGTCAACCAGGGGGGCTGTCGTCATCGCCATCGTCATCGCCATCGCCATCGCCATCGCCATCGCCAACGCCTCCCTCTGACGACGTAGGGAGGGAGGGTGAGGAAGGGAGGAGGAACGGGGAGGGTGAGGAAGGGGGGAGGAACGGGGAGGTGAGGAAGGGTTCTGACAAAGGCCTTCCTGGCCCAGGTTCCTGGATGGCCCAGAGAACGATCTCGAGGAGAAGGAGGAGCAAGAGGAGGAGGCGGAGTAGGTCACGCACCCGAGGACATGAGCGAGGCTCAGAGAGGAAGGAGGTGGGAGACGAGTAGTTCCAGCGCTGGTGCGGCGTTAGTGATGCCCCTCACACCGATCGTGGCCACCGAGCGTGAAACATCGCGCCCTCTCTTCCGTAGCCATTTTGGCTCAAGCCGGTTTGGCTCAAGAGTGTTTATTATTTCAGGCCGCGCAGCGTGGCCGCTCGTGACTGTAGAGGTGCGGCAGCGCGCGCCTCGGCGTGCAGTCTGGCGGTCAAAACCATGGTCTCCCTGATGCCGGCCAGCCCTTCTATGAAGGACGTTTCCGAGTTCTTTTTGGGGAAGTTGCCCACCGAGCAGAGGCAGCAATTCGACGCGGCGGTGGCATTGGCGACCTCGGAGGGCCGTTTCCTCCGCGTGGGCACCGCGTGCTCGGGCACCGACTCGCCCGTCGCTGTGTTCCGTGGCCTGGCGAAGGCAATGCCCAGGCTAAAGGTCGAGCACGCGTTCTCATGCGAAAGCGACGTGAAGAAGAGACAATGGATTACGGACAATTTCCCCGACTTGCCGTACCTTTTCGGTGACATCCAGGAGTTGCCGACAGGCAAAGCTTTCAACTACATCACCGGGAAAGCGGCGCAAGTTCCACCCGTGGACATTTTCATTGCAGGCTTTGTCTGCAAGTCGGTGTCCTTGGAGAACAATGAGAGAAATAAGTGCGCGAACTGCATCATAGAGGCGTGCGGTCTTACAGGCATCACGTTCCAAGGGATGATCCAGTACGTTCAGCAATTCCAGCCAGCTGTGGTAATATGTGAGAACGTGGAGGGCCTGGTCAAAAAAAACGCGGGTTGGAGCCAGTAGTCAACCATGTCAAGGACGAATTTGCCTCCAGCGGCTACGCCTTCCATCACAAGCTGCTGGGCTCCAGGGACTTCCTGCTGCCCACCGGCGCAAGCGGTGCTGGATGTGGGCCTTCCGCGGCCTGGCGCACGCGGGCGCCGCGGCGCTGGCGGGCGAGGCCGTGCTGGCCCTGCGCCAGGAGAGGCATTGGGAGATGAACGCCCTCTTCCGGAGTGTGAAGGCCAGCGACGTCGACATGCGGAGGCCGCTCAACGAGCGCGAGCGCTCCGTGGTGCAGAAGGTGCTTTCGAAGCTTTCGCCAAGAGAGCGCGGAGAGGAGGTCGTGGTGGACGTCGGCAAATCTTTGGAGAGGGCGGTTTATTGCGCAGGTGCAGCGCCATGCGTGGTCCCCAATTCTCGACCATACCGCGTAAAGAAGGACAAGCTCCTATCGCCTGAGCAGGTCCACGCGGCGCAGGGGATCTTCAAAGAGGACTTCCCTGCGCTGGCGCGCTGGGGAAAGGAGAAGAAAATACTCACGCGCGACCTCGCTGGCAATGCCTTCTCCACAACAGTGTGCATGGCGGTCGCCATCGCGGTACTTTGCCATGGCCCGTTGCTAGGGACAGGCGCCTTGAAGCGCATTCAGGCGGTCACGGAGGAGCACCTCGAGGGGGCCGCCGCTCCAGCCACGCCGCCCGCGAGGGCCTCGCGCGCCCCCGTGGCGACGACGCCGCGGCGCGCGCAGCCCCCGCGCGCGGTCCAGAGGACCCGCGCCGGCGCCAGTTCACCGGCAGCGGGCGGCCCGCTGGCGAAGAGGTTGAGGGTGAAGTCCAGTGACGTGGGGCGGCAATGCGAATTCTAGCCGGGCGTTGTTTTATATTTTCCATCAGGCGCCTTGTGCCGGAGGAGGAGGCGGAAATGGGTGTCCAGGGACTGGGGCGGGGAGGTGGCGGGGCCTGGTCGCGGGCGCGGCCGCGAATATTGAGAAAACGGGTTCCTGGTCTTAGCTGGCCCTTCCAGGGCACCGCTTTGAACCATCTATGAGCTACTGCGCGGAGGGCTAGGGTCTGAGAATAGGGTTTCTCGGCCAGCACCCTGCGTTTAGGCCGGCACCCTGCGTTTAGGGTGCTGAGAATAGGGTTTCTTTGCCGCCGCCACCCTTGTCCAACCTCTGCGACTGCGAGCCGCGCCGCCGAGCTGGCCATCTCGACGCAGTCAGGATCGCAAGCGGTCGCTCAGACAGCGAATCGCTCGAGCCAACAAAGGCAACGATCGAAGCACCTGGCCCGCCGGAACATGAGCCACGCAGGCCCGAAAAGGCCCGTTTATCCAACATTGGGAGCATGGCCCGTCTTGTCTTGGAGTCCTCGTGGGGCCCGCCTGGAAGCCATTTGGGCCTTCTTGGGGCCCTGTTGGAGGCGTCTTGGGGCCCTGGGCGGGCGCCAAACTGGTGCAGCAAGCGTTGAGTTGTTCAATGATGTTTCAATTCTTGGTGCCGCGGCGGGCGGGCTCGGGAGGCACCGCCTTGGGCCGTCTTGGGCCGCGCGCTGTCTCCCCCCTTATCCCTTAAGAGAGAGAGAGAGAGAGAGAGAGAGAGAGAGAGAGAGAGAGAGAGAGAGAGAGAGAGAGAGAGAGAGAGAGAGAGAGAGAGAGCGCGGCCGTGGATCTCGGAACGCGCCCCTCCCCAAACGCATCAGGTGGACATTCAAACCAATATTCGAATCGAGAGTGGCATCGGTGCTGAGGTCGATTGGGTGAGATCGATAGTGGGATCTATTTGGCGCCGATATCTATATCAATTGGATAGGAACGGCATCGATAGTGTGATCGGCCAACCGTCAACCCAGCGACTTCCGCAGCCGTTTGGGGGTCGAGGTGGCGGCGCGCTCGCGGCTTCGGCGCCCAATATGCTGCCGAGACCGCCTCGGCACCCTCCTCCCGCGGCGCTCCGCATCGCGGCGGCGCCCAGTATGCTGCCGAGACCGCCTCGGCACCCTCCTCCGCCCCCGCCGCCGATCCGCATCGCGGCGGCGGGGGCGGAGCCGCGGTCGCCGTGGTCGCCGATCCGCATCGCAGCTGGCGAGGGGGTGGCCGGCGGAGCCGTGGTCGCCGAGCGCGACTCCAGGTCAAGGCCGTCCGCATGCGAGGAGGTGGTCGACGAGCGCGACTCCAGGTCATGGCCGTCCGGCGAGGGGGTGGCTGGCGGAGCCGTGGTCGCCGAGCGCGACTCCAGATCAAGGCTGTCCGCATGCGAGGAGGCGCCAAGGCCTGGCGCCGCCTCGCCATCGCCGAGATCTCGGAGCCCCGTGGGGCTGGCTGGCAGAGCCGAGACTGGCGAGGATGCGGCGGGCAGAGCCGAGGAGTTGGCTGATGAGGTGATTGAGGAAGCTGCCACCAGGCTTCTGCACGCCATGAGGCTGCTGCACGCCGAGACGGTGGTCGACGAGGCCATGGCAGAGGGGGAGCTGCGCTGGAAGGAGATAGCGGAGCTGTGCAGGCCCTACCAGGAGGCGGCGGAGCGCTGGGAAATGGCAGAGGCGGAGCGGGACTGCCACGCCGCCGAGTTGGAGGCGGCGCGGACGGCGGCTGCGGGGGCGTGCCGTGCGGCTCGAGCTGAGCGCGGCCCAATTCTCAGGTTAGTCTCGCCCGAATGGTCCGTGCTGTCCGTGCTGTAGAGCGCTGTCGGGTGTTTGGCCCCGCGTGAGTTGGGATTGGGTCCTCGAGCCTCACATCGACCTCACTATCGATAACATCATCGATCTCACTGAATGGCGGATCCCCGTATCGATCCAACTATCGCTCTCACTGTAGACCGTCTAGACCACGCTATCGACCTCACCTAAGAGGTCACTACCGATCTCACTATGACTATCAATCACGTGGTCGGCCTCACACACCCCAAACCTCCGACGCATCCAGAAATATTTCGGGGGAGGGGCCCAGGGAACGACGCAACGATGATAAAACGCGAATGACGGATGAGAGAGGCGGATGGGGGATATGGGATATGATGTATATGTCGTTCTCTGTGCGCAGTTACACATGCCCTCTTGGAGGCGCCGTGAACCTTCTTGGAGCCTTCTGGAGGCTTTCGTCTTGGGGCTCCTGAGCTGTCTTGGAGCCCCCCTGGAAGCCTCTTGGGCCGTCTTGGAGCTCGTCGAGGCTACGTTGCAGCGTCAGGTCTGGGAGGCATCGCCACCCTGTCCCTTATCTTCCCTCCATCCTCGCAGCCACCGCGGCCCCGCCACTGCGGCCCCGCCATCGGCCATCGGCGCACTATGGCCCCGAAGACTCGCGGAGCTGCCAGCGCAGTGCCAGATGGCGATCTCGGCCGAGATCGCGACCCAGAGGTCAAACAGTTGAAGGAGGCGCTCAGGAAGAAGGACCGCGTCCTGAGGCGCGTCGCGGGAACCTTGCACAGGGTTGCCGCGCGGCTGGTCGCGAGCACAGAGAAGGAGCGCAACCAGCAGGACAAGCGCTCCCAGCCTGTCTCCCAGCTGAGCTTGGCCAGTGTGATGCGTGACAAAGAGGACATGTGGTCCATAGATGCGGCGATCGCCGCTGCGTGCCCGCCAGCGATGGCCATGGAGGCGTACCGCATCGACAGGGCGCAGTGCAGCGCTCCCACCCCATCAACGTACAACCTGAAGGGCAAGCGCACCAAGAAGAGCAAGAAACAGGTCAAGCAGACGGCGGACACTAAGATCCGCCAGAGCGTGCCCGCCAAGAAGATCACGGCCAGCATCGGCTCCGAGGATATCGACCTGGAGCCGTCGCCGAGCTTCGCGTCCGACGATTCCTCGGACGATTCCGAGCTCAGTGCCCGCGCGCGCGCGCTCAGCCACTGAGCGTTCGCCCCGCGTCTCTTCCTGCTGCTTCTCCTTCCTCGCGCTCCCTGGGTTGCCCCGAGTTGCGCTGCCTCCCCTCACCGAATCCTTGCCGCATTTATTTACGTTTCTTTGAACATTTGTCCATTTGTCCTTGGGCGCCCCGACTGATGTGATCCTTCTTAGCCCTCCCCCCCCCTCCCACTCGGCATTTATCCAGTGGCCGTCGGCCCATCCCGCCACCGTGCGTGGGTGGTGTGTCCGAGGCCTCATGGATGCTGGGTGGAATCTCGTGGATGGCTGGTACTTCTGAGGGCCTCTTGGGCGCCTTTTGGGGCTTCATGGGAGCCTCTTGGGGCCTCTTGAAGCCAGTGCGATCCTACCTAGGAGTTGAAGCCCCTAGAAACGCAGCGTTAGTAGTAACAGTAAAGCTAAACTAAGCTAGCGCTAAGCTGAGGCTAAACTTACCCTACACGAAAACTAAGCTAAATGTACCCTAAGCTAACGCTAACCTAAAGCTAAATTAAAGCTAAGTTAAAGCTCAAACTACCAGCTACACCTAAAGCTAAAGCTAAAGCTAATGCTGAAACTAAAGGGAGGAGGGGGGCCAAGGAATCGATCATCTGTCGTCGTCATCGATCTCGCCATCGCCGTCGCTATCGGTCTCGCCATCGCTCGTCATCGTCGTCGTCATCGTCATCGTTCATTTTTTCTGTTGCCATCGCGGCGCTCCCTCGGGCCCAGCGGGGGCCGCTGGCGGCCTGGGGCCCACCATCGCAAGAGAGAGGGAAGGGGGGAATGAAGGAGGAGTCCCCCAGAGCAGAGTCGCCAGGGGCGGCCCCCGCGCGCAGGCCCCGAGTGCCCCCTTGCTTGTGCCGGCCGCCGCGCTCTCTGATTTTCATTGGTCTTTTCGGTTTCTGAGGATATTTGGTATTCACGTCCTTACAACGAAATCGGCATAACTTCCACCTGCTCTCTTGAGCTCGAAATCAAGAATGTCATTCAGTAGCACGCGTGGTTCAAGTGAATCTATTTCTTGCCACAGAAGATGCCGGCAAAACAATCACCTCCCGAAGTGATCGCGGCCGCCCGCAATGGTGCATGGACTGATGCCAAGCGGTGGGCGATTGGCCAAGCCTTCGAAGCCTTGCATGTGGCAACGAAAGGAGCCACGGATGCCGAGATGGCTGTCATTCTGAACATATTTGCAAGCCTCCATGATGGGCTACGCGACCCCGCGTCCTTCACCCCCGACATCGCCATGCTCAGTTACAAGGACAACGTGGAGGCGAAGCTGCGTGCATCTCCTACATACAGCAGAATGAGCTCACTCTTACGCGATGCCGTTTTGATCACTCTAGTCGAATCAGCAGGCACTCATGGAGACGCTTGCCGCGAGGAGATCGACAAGCAGGTAGAGAACATCTTCAGCGACCAGAACATGCGGACATTCGCCATGTCCCAGCTCTACCAGGCCTACCACGTTCTCTTCATTACTACACCTGGCAAGTTTACCTCCAGGAGCAAGCTCGACGGGCGGAGTCGACCAGCTAAAAAGACACATGTCAAGGAACCGACAGGGCACACCACGGAATCCGCTTCGGCGTCAGGAGCGGTACTGCTGCCTAAAGAGTCCGCGAGGAGCGACATTTCGGTCGAGATGAAGGTGTTGCTGAGAGAAGTGGCGAAAAAATTAGACTTCCCGGATGTCGTTCCCGATTTCGTTCGCCTGGCCTGCTCCGAGAAGATCCACGCTCTTCTTTCCCAGGTTCCCGTTAAAACATGGATGATTGACCGGATCGAGTTCTTCCACTTCATGCGGTATCAGATGCTCCGGATCATCGGGCACTTCAGAACTGATCGGAACCTCCGCGCTGCCGTTTCGGATGGTAAGTTATCTGGCGTCCCTTCGGGCGACGATGCGAAATGGCGACTCCCGGACGCGGTATATGTGGCCTCGTGTCGGCAGGAGGCCGTGTTGGCATACATGGCCGAAGATCTTGCCAGGAGGAGTGTGCTCTACAGTCGAGGACGCCTCTC